CCCCCCCCCCCCCCCAATTTTTTTTTATTTGTGAAATTGTGAGTGTCTTCTGTCAGCTTCACATTAATTTTAGTGGTTACGGATATTTAGAGTAGTAACTTATTTGATTTTCTGGTGAGTGATATTTAGAGTGGTAACTGGTTAGGCTTGATATTAATGCATGAAACCGTTTATTTCTATTATTTGCCTCTGAAGCGTACTTTTATATCATTTTTCTCCTACCCTCTCAGGATGGATAATTTATATCCTGCGAACATTAATAATTCCATTTCACCTATGTTGGTTTGGTTGGTGGATCTGCAATGAGGTTGTTAGTTGTTATTTACACTGCTGGACAGCAACATTCGCAAATTAGAACGGGCCTTTTGGAGTTTTGGGTGAATCTTGGGTATGTACACAGGACATGAAGCATTTTTTGCCTTGCCTTGAGTGTTGGGGTAATGTATTTTGTATGCTAACATACTTTGTGGTGTCTTTGTTTGATTTGAACGTGTTGATTTTACCCGGGGTGTTCTTACCTTTTTAGAGTTGATTTGGCATAAGATTGCTTTCAGTGAAAGATATTAGCACACTTTTGTTTAATTTTGGATGTGGATTATACTTTTCTTCCTCCTCGTATTTCTTCCAAAACAAATTTTTAATTGATTATATGATGTCCTTCTCTCTTTGACACACAATAGACATATACTTAATATATTAAGGCATTTGCCCTCAGTTGATTTAACTTCTGTGATAGTTTAACTCCAGAGTCATTTTCATAGACAAACCAAAATAGGATTCATCTTTGACTTAGTTTTTTAACAATCTTGTCTTCAAACTTGTATTTAATCATAAACAGAAGACAAGTGTAAAGGCAGAAAGCTCGTTAAATCTTCAAAAGATTTCTCATTCAAGGAGTGGTGTTACAATGTCGGCTTCTAAAGAAATGATGAAATTCAAATCTTACCAGAACCGGGCTAATGTGTTCGTGAAGGAATATTTGTTAGCAGATCCTCTGATTCCATATACTTCTATTGTTGGTGGTATTTTTGCTTGCAAGATGGTATGTTGTATTAAATTATAGTCTTTTTCTTTTCTAAAGTATTTCACCTGACTTAAGTGCTTTTAAGGCTTTTGTCATAGTGTCGTTTATTATTTTTATTTTAAATTTGTCTCTAAATATTCTCAGTTTTCCAGGTCTATGATCTTACTCAGCTTTTTAGCGCTGTTCACTTTAAGAGTTATTCCAGCCTCACTAGAATCCAACGTGTTGAGTGGAATAATCGGTGAGTGGATGTTTTCATTTAGTGGAATGTATCTTATTTTGTTTCTGACAAGATATGTTTATGATTTTTTTTTTAATAATTTGTGCAGTGCTATGTCAACAATTCATGCTCTTTTCATAACAACTATGTCGTTGTATTTGGTGTTTTGCTCAAATCTATTTTCTGACAACCAGTCATCTGAACTTATTACATTTCAAAGCTCTTCATTGTCTACATTTGCTCTGGGGGTAAGAATGATGCGGACTCTTGTCAATTTATTTGTCTTTTCTTTTACTCTTTATGATTTATCTTAGTGGAGGACAAATTAATAAATCTAGTTCACCTAACCAATAGAATGAAGGACTGGTGTTCATTTGTATATGACTCTATGCCTAGTGGGGTTAGATATTATTAGCAACTTAGCATCATCTTGATCACTGATATCTTTCCATTGATATTTTCTGATATCAACATGAATGGCAGAATGCAGTGGAGTTGCAAAAAGTATGGGTTAATGTACATAAGATGTATTTTTGTGGGATTTTCACGTCTTGAAGTTTTTATTTGGAGATATTGTAAATTGAGTGTGAATCACTAGACATACTGGAAGTTAAATTGTGTAGACACCCATGCCTTGTTATGAAAGCAAGACAGACTAGAGGAAAACATAGGCTGCCTGGGTAAAAGAAAGATAATATTTTAAGAAAATCATTGATGAGTACGTATATCTGATGAGCAAGTAGATGATGTTAATTTGTATGCATTAAATGATTGTCTTTTGTAGTGCATGGAGTGATAATGGAATCTGCCATTGAGATTTAAGTTATTAAGAATGCTTCTAAGAAGAAGGCACTACTAGGCAGTTTTTTTATATAATGATGAAGTATCCAAATACCCAAGACTTAATCAGTACATTACTAGTGATGAAATTCTAATTGCCTTCAGCTGCATGTAACCTGCTTCTTGATTTTCATAATTTCTTTTTCTGCTGAAATAATTGCTGAAGCAAGATAATCCCATATGTTCTACATTATCTATTTTTTTTAAACTTTAAAGCGTGTTGAAATGGTTCTTCAGACCTGTATACTCCCTAGAGTAATGTGATATGTTTGATGATTAAATCATGAATGACAATTTTCTATTAGTGTTAAGTGTGAACCATATGTTGATCCAGAATGTGTGGTTAATGCCATTGGCACAATGGTTGGATCCCAGATTTAATAAGTTAGACTAAAAGATTATCACCATTTCTTTATGTGTGTTATGTGATCTGCTGCTCATTCTTTTATCTGGCCATGAAATTTGTATTATGTTTTAATTTTAATGTGACAGGTTTCTGTTGGTTACTTCATTGCTGACCTTGGGATGATAATTTGGTTTTTTCCTTCTCTTGGTGGATATGAGTATGTAAGGATCATATCTTTTGACTTGCATAGTTTATTTGAACCCTCATTCAATTTTAAGATATTCCACTTGATTGGAACCCATATGAAGATGATTATAGCAAGAGTTTGGTTTCCTTCCTTTTTCACCCTCTTGGATGTGGGTCTGGATTTAACATGACTTCATATTAACATTATTTCAGGTGATTCATCATTTGCTTTCTTTAGTAGCAGTGGCCTTTTCAATGTTGAGTGGGGAGGGTCAGCTATATACATACATGGTCCTGATCTCTGAGACAACAACTCCTGGGATCAATTTGAGATGGTAATCTTGCACCTAAATATGCACTATATATGTCATGTAATTTATTTATTAATGTGCATTTTGTGCTTGTGAAGGTATCTTGATGCAGCTGGAATGAAAAAGACGAAAGCTTATCTCATCAACGGGGTTGTAATATTCATTGCTTGGCTGGTGGGTTAAATCATTGCTGTTTTAAATATATTTGTAACTTATTTATTATTTTATTTGTGGAATCATTGTGAATTTCATATAATATTGAGTATATAGAAATCTCATCCTTGCCATCTTTGACATGCTCAATGAAATGGTCTTTCTGCAGGTTGCCAGAGTACTTTTGTTCGTTTACATGTTTTATCATGTCTACTTGCACTATGACCAGGTAATTACTACTGTCTACTGACTCGCTGAATTTAAGAATTTTCTGATATGTGGTGTTTTGCAGCAAGCAAATCTTAATGTTGAATTTTTGGCTTTTAAGATGGCTAACAATGGTGTTAAATTGTTCCATTAAATTTACAATTTGACTCCTTAGGGGATAGGGAATGGTTCATTGTGAGATGAGAGGAGTGAATCATGACATGACTGTTGCATTTTACATGTATAGTAGTCAAGACGAATGTGTAGTCATTTCATTTTTGTAATAAATGCTGTAGTCTTGCTTGGGAATCTGAAAACTGGTTTATTTCTTTCTAATTTATGGTCAAGCAAAGTCTACTCCACTTTATAGAGTGTAGGATCTCACGTCATTGTTCTTTAATTATGCAACAGGTTGAGCAGATGCACACCTTTGGGCAAGTGTTAGTTATTGTTGTGCCGCTGGTGCTATCAATTATGAACTTGGTTTGGTTTTCAAAAATTATTAAAGGGTTGAGGAAGACGTTGGCGAAGAGGCAGTGAGAATTTCGCTTTGTGATATTTAGGAAAATGAAATACAGGTACATGATGTAACAGAACAGAAACAATTGAACGTGTTTGGATCCCCTGTGGATCCGAACTTGTATAAAATATGTCCATTCTGCCTTTTTTTTTTTCTTCCCCCTATTCATGTACATTTATTAGTTTAATTTTGATATGTTGTTAAATGCAATGTATTTCGGTCCATCTGTTTGACAAGAGAAATTATTGTATAGTCCGAGAACACCATATATTCTGAGTTCTGAACTTCTGGTTCTGGCTAATGTCTAAATGATGCATTGAGTTCTATTGATATTTTTTTTGTTTGTAAACTGAAAACTCAAATTGAAATTACTCTTTTTCTTTTATGGGCATGATTTATGTTATTTCAAAGATGAAAACAACAAATTTAATTTGTATTCATAATTGTGACTTTTGTTGATTAAATATTATTTTATTATTAAAAAAATGATTTTGGATGGATCACCGATCACGTCAATCTCAGATATTTTAGGGTAAATTTTATAATCATTGGACTAAGAGACTTGAGATGATTTTAAACCATAAAATAATTTTTTGCTTGGAAAATATGCACTATTAGTTTTGGTAGTAAAGTTCACTTATATAATTAGGATTTAGGAGAAGTGAGACGTTTTTTCTCGCATTTTACTTTGGATCAATAAAATGATTTTATTTTTGGTAAAATGAACTTTTCACCTTAATAAGAAATAAATTTTGATAAATAAATTTTAATTTTAAGAAATGGCTTTTGGAATTTATGCACCTGATTCAAACAATTACTTTCAGTCATGAATTACATATTTAATTTTACTTAAAATCCCGTCTGGATCAGGGTTTTTCATTTTCATGAAAATTAAATTGCTTATATTTTGAAAAGAAAAAAAAATCTATATAGTTTTAGTATGTTTGTTTCAATTTTTTTAGTTATAATTATTTTTTAAATTAAGTTAATGCAAACTTGAATGCAATTATCGGGCGAGTTTTGTTTCATTTTGGTGAGATTCAGTTTGACCTTAAGATATGTATGTTTATATTTGTTTATGTTATTTAGAACTTAATTAGGAATTGAGATAAAAATCTCATCTGATTGGTATTTTTTTAAACTTAACGTGCCATATCATGTTTCTTTCTCCTGTTGTAAGTTCTCAATCGATGAAATAATAATGTTACACTTCAGTTATCTTTTACCCAAAAAATAATTAGCCTGTGTTTGAACCAAATAAAAAATGAGGATTGAAACTCTCTTTCCACATCCAAAAGTAATAAAGACTAGTTTTTTTTTATAAAAAAAAATTCTAACTTGAATTATGAATTTTAGATGTATATTTAATCACTGATGAATCTAGAAATTGTAAATAGTGAAAATAATATTTATATAAATTTAGTATTAAATTTTTATTTAGATATAAAATCACAATCGAATTTATCAATTTATTTTTATAAAATTGATTTGATAGAAAATAGTTATATCTCTTTATTAAGCTAAAAAAATATTTAGATAATTTTTTTTCATTTCTAACACAATAAAAAATCGCCCTCTACATATTTTATTTAAATAAAAAGTAAAATATAAGAAAAAAAAGAAAATTAAAATAAGAAAGATGATGAGTTATACACATTGCAGCTCTTACAATAAAAAAAAAGTGTACTCCATCTAAATTTTTGTGTTTACATGTTGATATTTTTATTTAAAGAGAAAAGTGTACAAATAACAAATAAGAATAAACATAAAAATATTTAAACTAATATAGATAAATAAATTAAAGAATAAATATATATTAAGATAAGTGAAAATCAAAAGGTGGTAACTTTTTAATGTATAATATAAATTAGTAGATACTATTATAATAGAATTTAATAATTGAACTTTTTTATAATATTTAAATATTTATTATTAGGAGTGAAAATAATATTATATATTTATATATATTCCGTTAAGAAATAATTGAAAACTTACACCTATGCTTGTAGATCCGTCCTGTATTTAAAGTATTTGATCTCGAGCTATTTTGGGCTTGACCATGTGACCCAAGACCTACAGTAACTACTCTACCCCTCTCTTTTTTTTCTTTTTTTTTGTCATTTATCACTTCTCTTCTTCTACATATTTAACTCTCCCTTTACACACTTCCAACCTATTAACTTGACCTCGATAATGTTTGTCCATGATTGCTGGTTTTTCTCTTATTGAAAAGCTTTTCCTGCTCTCTATAACTGTTTATGCCTAAAATTACACAAAAAAATAACCCCCCCAAACAGTAGCAAATTAAATTATATCTTGAACAACATGTGAGATTGAGTGAGCCAAAAATACAAAATCCCACAATCTACTTAAATGAACTTAATTAACTCGAAGGGGAGTTTATCTTGATGCTGTTGGCTTATAAAAATTGTTGAACAAGAATACAATGCTCCACTTTATCTACTAGCTAAAAGGAGTTCTAGCAATACACTCCTCTAAATGCACTAATTTTTATTTGCTATAATTTATTGAAAATTATAAAATTAAAAAAAAAATATTATTAAATAGAAAGTTAATCCACTAAAATTTGTATTCTCTGATAAATTTCAACAAATGAAAGAGAATATACTTAAAAGAATATAATAAAGAATGTATTACTAGCATTTTTCTATCAGAAACAAAAAAGTTCATTTATTTATCATTGGTTATTTTTTTTGTTAAGCATGGATGATAAATATTAATTTTTAATAATTCCAGCATATATGGTTATGTACCAAATAAAATTAATAAGCTTGGTTAAAATTCATGTACCATATCACTATACAAAAAAAAAAAAAAAAAGAGAAAGAGAACTTTTATTAAGGCTAACATGCCTAACATTGTAATAAAGAATACAACAATTAACTAATTAACTATTGCAAGTCTTTGCCTAAAAGGTTAACAGTAACTAGGTCTAAGTTTATATATAATTGTTTCCAAAAGAATATTAATGCAAGATTAATATCAGATTGTTAGGTCTAAGTTTATATAAGTGTTTCCAAAAGAAGTTGATTGAAGGGAATGATTAGGAGGTTCAGTTGATGAGGAAAAACGCATTATCTGTTGTTGTCTATGCATCATCGAAATTAGAGGCGTGAATGGGAGACCAGGAAATTTAATTAGCCTACAATCTTCTTCTTCATTTGACACATCATCACTAACCAACCATGCACTTGACCGGGGTTCCTGCAAGATTAATTCCAGTATATATATTAATATATGGAATAATCATGACACCATGTAATCAACTCTCTTGTACTGTCTTTTGTTCCTTTTGTTTTAATAAAATATTAATTTTAAGAGAAATTCTATACTGCCACTATAGAGGACAGTCATATTGTCATAATAATCACCTATTTTTAGAAACACGAGTTTTCACAATAATTTATTAAAAACACATAAGAAGTAAATTCAAGGTGATTATTATTAACAACTTATTTTTGATAAAGTATTTAATTTTAATAAGTTAATAATTAAATTATTTTATAAGAATTAACTTTAATAATAATTAAATTTGTATACACACTATATATTTGCAGACATTTCAACTTGAAAAACCCATATATATTGGATTACTTGATTGACAAGACAAGAACATAGGTTTTCGAAATATTGATTGATGCTTTAAATATATAGTACCTGGTTTAGGTCATAATCAGTTTCTTCACTGGTTTGTAAAAGCTCACTTTTGTTCCTGCTTTCACATTTTGATACTCATAAGTTGCTTCTAATTTCCTATCGTTTTGATGGGTATAAAATAGTAAAGTGAATGATATGAGTTGGACATGGTTACCTTTGGGTTTTGAAATCGTTTGCATATCCTTCCAGCAACTGATTCTCTGATGCAATAATGGCATGCCCCTTCATGTTTCTGTACATCTAACAAAAACCCAGAATTTCTCTTGAATGAAAAAGGAAAACTTGATAGTAATTAAAATTAGTCAATAGAAGAATGGAAATAAATAATATACACGTTAATGTCTTGTATTTGATATAAGATTTGTGTTTAAAAAATTATTATTAAAAAGGATTTTTGCTATACCGAAGATCTAATCTCACACTTGTCAAATAATAACAAGATACTGTGTAGAAATAAAAATTTATTTGAGGGATCAAAATTCTAACTTAACTTCACTATATTTATTTCTTCAACTAGGTATACATGATTAGGGATGGCAACAGGACGGGGCGGGTACGGGTTTCATGATACCCGTCCCCGTTCCCGCAAGTTAAACTTATCTTCATCCCCGTCCCCATACCCGTCGGGTATAGATTTTCATCCCCATCCCCGTCCCCGTCGGGTATCGGGTATACCCGTACTCGTACCCGTACCTGTCAATTTTTTTATTTTTTATTTTTTGTAAAAAAAATAATATTTTTAAATTATTTTTTTATTATATTATAATTATAATTAGGTTATTTCTTTATCTCATATTATAATAAATAATCATACATAAAAAAATATTAATTTTTTTTAATATAATTAAATTGAAAGTGAATATTAAATTAAAAATAAGAACGTGGACGGGTACGGGTACGCGACGGGTAAGTACATACCCGTACCTGTACCTGTACCCGTACCCGATTTAATATATCGGGTTTTACTTGTACCCGTACCCATATCCGGTCAAACCGGATATTCTCCGTCAAAGTCGGGACGAGTTCGGGTATTACTCGCGGGTACGAGTATATTTGTCATTCCTGTACATGATTAGGTTGAAGTCATAATGTTGATCTGGCGGTTTAGGAGAGAGATTAAAGGTAGAGTGATAAAGAGGATGTAAGTTTGAATCTTCTACTAGCATAACAATTAACATTTGTTGATAAAAAAAAATGACTCAAGTTATCTTTGATTATATGATTAAAATTTGTAACTTTAGTTAGTTGGCCCATGTTTGACAATTTTTTTTCTCATTCTGTTAAGTGTGATATACAAACAAATCTCAATTGAATCAAAAGTTATTCAACTCAACTTTCATATTATATTCCAAACAAGCACTTAAATATTGGAATCCAGGTTGTGATTTGTTGGCAAGAGGATAGAGAATTGAATTCTAGTTCCATATTTTGCTGCGATGCTCTGCTTGTTACACATGCTAATTCAGAAGAAACGGGGATATGAGAGACTGTAGAGAAATTAATTCCTTTTGTTCAAATCTTCCTTTTCAGCGTATGCATTCGTACCTAATTAACCTATACATTGTATATGAACCTTTTGTATTACAATATACATATACATATAAATTTACCTTGCACATGCATGATATAAAACACGTTTTAAAATTACACAGAAGAAGTAATCGTTTTCTTAAAGGTAGATAATCATTTAGCAGTAATGTACATAAAGGAACGACGAGATATTAAAGAGAGAGTTGAACTTTGATTAAATTCTACGTGAATTGCATCATTTTGGTTTGCCTAATTAACGGTGAATTGGTGATCAATGCAAGCATTTATAAACAGACTAATACTATATAGTATATACGGCTATATAGTGCGGTGACTGATTTATTTATCATGTTTTCCATCAATTATTATCTTTTTAAAGGAAGACTCTACCTGCTTTATTGTTTTGTTTTTCAGCAATTAATAATTGAAGTATAACTTCCAATATATTAGGTCTAGGCTATTTATTGTCCCCCATGAAAGAAGGGAGATATTACCTTATTAGGACTAATTAAAAAAATAATAATCTATGATCATTACTACTTCTGTAGGACAATATATCATATAAGTGAAGAAAAGAAATTGGTGCTAAATTCGCTACTATATATACATACATATATATATTAATTTTGAACCTTCCATCAGATCATGTTGAGATTCAATCTAAAAATAAATAAAAATGGACCACATGTAGGGTAAGCGATATATATATATATATACCTGAAGATGGCTTTTGATGTGAGCGATCCTGAGTCCTTTCACACGCATCTGCTGCAAAATTCGCTTCGGAGTTGCCTCTGCAAACACCATTTTACTGCAGTTTAATTAAGCATCGAACAATCCTTTCCCACTTTAATTTGGTTTTATATACACGAGACTTAAGAGAGAGAAAAAAGAAAGAGATTAAAGGAACGTAAATTTCATGTATTATGTTGTACAAATGATTTTCTGCTATAAATGTATGTGCTTTGATAAATTATATTTGCAAATATAAATTATGGTGGTAAATTGTTTACCCCTATCTTCTCCTGGCAACAAGAAAAGCAAGCAAAATCAATAAAGAAATTAAACTTAGACATGCAAGAACAAATTATGTACAAGTGAAGGAGAATTCTAAGGCTGGATCAGAAGAAATCAAATAGAAACAATTTGATCGAAATCGTCAACAATATTACTTGTTTACTCCAGTCCAATAATGACTTTTCTATCCGATCACATAGATAGTTGAAAAAATCTATATCGTTTATAAATAAGATTCCAATAATATATATATATATATATATAAGTGATGAAGATTAACAATCCTTGTCAGAGTTTTATTAAATTGAGTTAGACTTCAATTTATTCTCTAAGATATATGCTTATTTTCGATAACTAATTTTGGGATGCTTAGTAGCATATTCATATCATTTGCTATAACCCTAGCTAGCTTGCTAGACTTGGATTGTTATATCTTATAATAAATTTATATGTATTAAGGAAATTAATTAAACTTACTGTGTTTTCCACCAAGACTTTGAATAGCTTCAACAAAGTGTTGATGGAGTTGGGGAGTCCATCGCAGGCGTGGAAGTTGGGATTTTTTGTATTGCCTGGCACTGCTACTTCTCTCAGAACTTTTCATTTTTCTGTGCTTCAATTCACACACTTTCACTTTGTGTCAGCAATCCTCAACGCATATAATAAAACTGGTCTCATAACATTCGTTACCTACAATATGAATGCAGCACCAAAAAAGTCTAAGGCCAATGACTTTTTCAAGAAATTGAAGTGGATTGCTTTTGTCCACTGCACTTACATTCTCTTGCCCATTTTTTCAAACAAGAACATCGCTTTTATTTGTTGTCCAATTGATCATTCCATTTAAAATTGATAGTATATATAAGAACACTGAAATGTGGTTTTAAAAGATGATATTTGTTAGATTCGATTAACCACAGTTCCTATTTAATACAGGAGAGTACGTACCGAGAGTATTCTCAAATCAATGATTAAAATACTAAGTGAACTTTTAATGAAAATATATGTATGAATTTAAATAGAATATGCTGACAAGTTATAAATTAGTGAGTGGTACTGGTCTATGATGGGCCTAGTCCAGCCAAATTAAATGACCAACCAATATTTTCTGGTCTGTTATTAATATAGATCAACAAAGAAAGATATAAAAACCATAAATAATATCATATGACAAGAAAGAGAAATAAAAAATAATAAAAATATCAATTTGGTATACGTACTATGCAGATATTCACATATCATTACTCATGTAATGTAAAGGCACTTCGGTTATGTTCGTAAAAAAAAAAAAAAACAGACCACTTAAATAGTACTTAATATAGTGAGTATTGTGAATTTTAAAATATTGCATGAAACACATTCTTAAGAAAAAAAATATTGTGAGTGTTTGATTTGTTAAATACACCTCCCGCCCCTAACCAAAAGAAGAAAAAAAAACATTTAAATTGTGTATTGCGTGATAATGCAATATACACAATGTAATTAATTAAATATACAATTTTTAAAAGAAATAGTCAAAAGAGAAGTTATAGTTGTTAAAAGAAGGGGAAAAAAATGTGTAAATTAAATTGTCCGTGGCCAATCAAACGTCAAAAATAGACGGTGCCTACTTTTCTGATGGCGTGTTCAACAAACACAACCCTAAACCCTCAAAATTCAAACATCATGCGAAGAACTATGTAATTTCTTAAAAAGGTTTATGAATTATGACATATGGGACCACGTTCCTCTGAATCTCCCTCCATGGCATTATATGGACTGTCATGGATCACCATCCACGTGGGCCTAGCTAGATCCATAATGCCATGCACGTAAATCGTAGAAATAGTGCATGCGACGTCTTGCTTTGGTTCACACCACTTGTGTTTTAGGAATTATACCAATATTTATGGGTTTCTTAAGTTCGTGTCCAAAACAAAAACAGCTAACAGCTAATAGCTAATGAATTAACCCTTTCTTTTTTGGTTGCCAATGTAACAAAGATGCGATCAATTTATGTATAATAAACTACAATGTTGATATATGTGCTGCCACGGCCTTTCCTTCGTTATTTATTTTACTAAACCCTACATGAAAAAATATATAAAAAACATAAGAGAAATCAGATTTTATCTCAAGTTCTTATTTGTTAAGGAGTAAGAATAAAAGAATTTAATTAGCTATGTCACAGTTATGAACAAACTTAAAAGAATTTAAGTTCTTATTTTTTTTTTGGACAGTTATATTAATAGATGTTCCATTTTCTGACACAACAAAAATGTTTAATAAAATTGGCAGATAAATATATTTCATGCACACAATAAATAAATAAATAAATATATATATATATATATATATATATATATAGGTCCCCACGACCTTGAGCTAGCAATAAAGTAACCATTTTTCAACTTCTTCATCCAACTACTTCCATGAATATTTAATTAATTTGTACTATCATGAATAATTATTCAATGAGAAACTTTATGAAATATATATATATATATATATAGAATTATTATTTAACTTATTTTAAAATCTATACATTTAACATAAAAAGTATTACATTATGGATCTTATTATAAAGTGAACAATTCACTTTATAAAGTAGAGTAATTTAGTTATGATGAAAAAAAATAATGGTTAATGTTAGGTGCTCATACAAAATAAATTGTGTGTGTCAACAAATAATTTATTATTATTATTATTATTATTTTATAGGAGTCGAGTTCATATGTGATTGAAAACCTTTTAATTTTTAATTAATATTACTATATATTTTAACAACATATATAAAACTTAATTTGTATAATCAATTACAAATAAATTTAAATTTATAATCATAAATTTCAATCTCAGTTTACTGTTTTCATATATATTTTAATGGGACAAATAAATTTATAGAATTTAACAAATATGCATTTTTAGACAGGACAAATAACATTCTCCCATACAATTTACCTAGAAAGTGTAAATTAGTATTTTGGTATGTGTATTATATGTGACAAATATTTTTTTATATGATTAAAATTTATAAAATAAATAATTTTAATTATTTTAATTATATTTTTTTTATTTATAATGAACTGCTTAAATTCTCATATAAAGTTATTTATATTGACAAATTCTATTAAAAAATATATTAAGATATTTAATTTAAAGATAGTGATAAAAGATGATAAATTGAATGTGATGGACTGTTAAAAACCAAGTATTTAAATAAAGATAAAAAAAATAATAATAATTTAAGATGGCCGAAAGAAATTGTTTGACTTCTCTCGTGTAGTGTGGATATTTTTATTTTGTTGGCCAGCTTTTCTTCAATTAAAAAGACTAGTCTCTTAAATGTACGGATATTCATCTAAAAATTAAGAGTTGATCTCTTCTAATAGATGATCTTTTATATATGAAAACCCAAAGATGAAATATTCAACTACAGTACAGCATGTTGGTCATAGCGTGGAAAGTAGGTAACATGTGGTTTGAGATCCAACACCAATGGGTCATAGTTAATTAATGTTTTCACATTATGCACAGCACCATTGCATAGATTTCTACCATACCATCGCTTTCAATCCACCAAGCTAGGGTTAACTTTTAATTCAAGGTTCTTAGTTTAGGAAATGTGAAGGCTGAAGAAGGAAAACCAGATTAGAACAGTTTTCCAAAACAATGTTAAGTATTCATTGCCATAAATTTGTCATGTGTAGTACTACTAAATGTGATGGTTGAAATTGTACTTTTCACCAAAAATTGTTGGCATAAGTAGATCGTCACTTACGTTTTGTAATCGAAGTTTATTCTTTGACATGGATATAGAATCAGTGGAAATACCACTTTTTTATAAAAGTATTTTGTTATTGTGAAAAATGAAAATAATATATTTAAACCACATAATTATACATGATTAGTGATTATATATATTTCTACCTAAAAGGCCCAAATTCCTTTTCTTCAAATTTTGACCATTCAATTAGAATAGTTTTTTATTTATTTATTATTTATGAGAGAGGATAGTTAAATTAAAAGAAAACAAGGACTAAAAATAGAAGGTAACTGAATAACAAAGTCCAAATTATAATTTCCTTGCAAACTTGACACAATCAATTCAATTACCCGAATATCCATTGCAACGAATATGAACAGATCAAAGCCTACCGGCTACTGCACATAATTTCATTCCTCTTCTGATTTTATGATATATGGTTTCATTAATTATTCTACTTTCTAAAGTTAAACGTTCACACTTGAATCTAACAAGTGTTGAGTTTAGTTAGTATTTACAAAGATTTGACTGTAGTTACACAAGCGAATATAGTGTGAACCAACCATGCTTAAATCGAACCAATGAAATTTAAATCTTAAATGATCCCTCAATTGTGTCAAGCGTCCATCATCTCATTGCATGTACACCTGAAGGTTGTGGCACAAATGCATCTGCAGACCAAGATTCTTCATTACATATGACACTTCATCATCGCATACCATTGTTAGCACAAAGAAGGCAATCTTCTGACTGAAATTTTCACTGTCAAGATTTGTCCTCTATATAAGCTGAACTCTCAAGTTTAATTTTCACTGTTAGGACGTGTATTCTATCTACTACTAATCTAATATATAAGCTTCTATAATACTGAACAGACAAATCAACTTCCCTTTGAAACATTATCAACTTGAGTTTCCTATGATCTAGAAGAAGGGCCAGAGAACTGGCGCACATCATAGTTTATAAGCTCTGCAGGGGCTCCTTTTGGTCTCTTACCCAACCGCTTTTGCCCTGTAGCTGGCTTGCCTAAAGTTGTTGCATTTACCATAGTGGTCAAACTGTCGACACCTTCTAACATCGTGGGCATGCCATTGCATCCATCACAAGACAGAATATTAGCGATGGCTTCCACGGAGGCTGCCATGATTGGAGGAAGAGCATTTCTTGGATGTGTCACCTAAAAATGTAAAACAATGTGTCAAGAATATCATAACTGGGATAAATGACTTGGATAAATCACAAAGGTGAAAACCACAAGTATAATCTGGTTATTTACTTTGTATAAAATTGCTGCTGATAATCGCTCTCTCAAGCAGTATAGCTGAGCAACATCAATTGCTGTTGACCGATAATAAAGCCAACGGTCCATGATTACTTTAACCATATTATCGGGAGAAGACATCAACTTATCCTCACTGGTCTTGGTATCAAACTCCATCCCATCTTCACTTCCAGCTTCATCTTCACTCCCTCCTGCATCATCATCATCTCTGTCATCATTTTCACCTGGAGCAACAGCAATCTCTGTTGAAAGCAGCAAAAGTGGAAGTGGTCCAACAACTGTGCAGTTCCTTATGTTCACACCCCCATCTCCGCGAGTAATTTCATCATACACAATTAAAGTGTGATCTAAATTTTTCTTGAATGACAACTTAAAATTTGTGGAATGATTGTGCAAGCGAACTTTATCACCACTTGATGTTTCAACTATAACCCTTTTTCCACTTTTATTTGGTAAAAATCTCCCAACCATTGGATACAAACCTGCTACCAAAACCGCATGCAGCACACCAGGGTTACGTGCATTCGCACTGTAACTTGAAACATCATCAGGAATGAACCCATTTCGAATGAGTTCTGCTTGGAGTTGTTTACGCATGCCAGATAACATATGCATGGCGCTTGAAGACACAAAATACTGAGAACAAAACCGTGATTCTAGACCCATTTTCTTTGCATTATTCCAGCATTCAAATGCATTTAATATAGCAAACTGATCACCACAACCCCCATATAAACAAGCAAGTTCAGATTTGGCAACTGTAGCTCTCTTCCTTTCTTCAGGTAACATTGGAAGCGTAAATGGATCTCTATAATCAGAAGCACACGCAAGAGTTAAAGCTGGATCAAGGCAATTCATCAATATAGCAAAAAAGAGCATCCTGCAGATTAATGGGTGAACAGGAAGAGAACCAAGTTTCTCCCCTAGTTGAGTGAGTTTTTCGTCATTTGACAATGCCCCAATATCTTGAAGAACTAGAATAGCATTGCGTATGGACTCAAAAACTGGAGGATCTAATGTCTTGCCTAGAAACTCTTCTACTTTGCAACTTGGATCAAGCAACTTTACCTGTCACAAGAGAGAGTTAGAGTAAGAACCAAATCTAACATGAGGGGAAAGTTATTGTTTTGTTTCATATAAAATCAATCCATCGATGTTCTGCTTGTACCCAAACGTCAAAAAAATCATTGAAAGCCTGCCGATTTTTAAAGGTGTTCAAACACACCCTGAGAAACAGAAATAAGAGAATGGCATTTCAGGATAAAAACAAAACTGTTTAAAGAAATAAAAAAAAATAAAAAAAAATAGTGAAAGGAAAATAGTATGCGAAGTTTCCCAATCTCTTTATTTTCTACAAAGAGATCTTTGAACAAACCCTTTCATGAGAACAAAATTACCTAATCATATATATGATGTAGAGAATTGTTCTTAAAACTTGAGATATATCTTTCTCACCATAGAACCAATTTCATCAAACAAAGCAATCAGGCCCTTCCGTATTTGCTCTTCATAAATATATGACAAGAAAGTTGTTCCTTTTTGCACAAACCAATAATCAACCATAATTTACACAAATTTGCAAAGTATTTCATAACAAAAATTACAAGTTTGAATACAGCATTACAAGGTTACTAACTTATCACATCTACACTACAAGGGGATATTTGATTGAGTATATAATAAGCACCAAGATTCTGATCACCAATCAAGGAAAATGAAATACCTGCAGGCAAAGCTCCTCAATAGGTATTCTCCTGATTTCTGGAATCTGAAAATCTGGCAAGGAAGCTGCTCGAATCCTGGAATATAGATGATAGCATATTCCAGGTTGACAGCGTCCAGCACGACCCTCTCGCTGTTTAGCACTTGCTTTTGAAATCCAAGATGACTGAAGAGTTGACACATTGTTATAAGGATCATAACTTTTTTCTTTCATTCGTCCAGTGTTTATGACATACACTATATCATCAATGGTGATAGCTGTTTCAGCAATGTTAGTTGATAGTATAATTTTGCGACAACCATGAGGTGGGCGCTTAAAAACCTTCTTTTGTTCCATGCTTGGAACCATTGAATGCAGAGATATGAGCATAAACTTTGAGGAATTCTTGAAAAATGATGATGCAAGCAATCTCTCGCGTGTTCTATTTATATCATCCCAGCCTGGAAGAAAAACAAGGATCCCTCCATCTGTTGAATCAATGCATATTTTTCTTATCAGCTGCTCAATCAAAAATACATCAACAAGTTCTGGGTTGACTGTTGCCAGGTATTTATCAAGTAACTTCTTCTCTTCCATGGAGTTGGAAAAATCATTATCCATGTGCTTCTTCATAATTTCAGCTGCTTCTGGTTGGTTTTCCCTTTCAGCAATCTCCAGAGCAGTCATTCCATCTTTGGCCTTTAAATAGCAATCTGCCCCGGAAGATAAGAGCATGCACATTTCACCCACTCTACCTTTTCCAGCAAACAACATTAATGGAGTAAGGCCAGTTAAAGAATGTTGGTAATTAAATAGTTCTGGGGTCCCTTCAGAAGAAACCAATTCTAACAGCAGGTCCCACTCATCATTAGACCAAGCAATATTAATAGCTTCATCCATGGAAAGCTTCTCTTCTTCACTTAGCTCACTAGAGTTTATTGGAATACTACATGTGGAACTATCAAGATGATTGTCTTTGCTAGATTTTACAATAGAAAGTACATCCTCCAAATAAAAACTTTTGACCTGATGAAAGAACAGGTAGACATTGTAGTAACATGTGACAAAGTATTAGCTAATTTACAATCTGCTAATGTATAGGTACCGGATAAGTGAAACCCGGAACATTGATGATTGGGCAGCTCCCAAAATATTGAGAAAATCTCGCAGCATCAAAGGTAGCACTCATTAATATCTGTAATAGTAGAGCACCAGAAGGTTAAAAATACTGGTTAAAGATGGGAAATAACATAATTATAACTTAAGCACTTGACAGGATAACAGAGAAATAGAGACAATAAGATATAAATGTAACAAGTTTGAACTGACCAGACGTAGGTGAGGATATGAAGGGAGCATGTCTCTGCATATAAGTTACCAAAAATCAGTGTTATCAGTCCAAAAACCAGACAAACCTCTTCTGTGAGTAATCTTGTATATGATCTTTCCTCTTTGGGAGGGAGGATTAAATATAACAGGAAAATTATTGCCACATATATCTGGTTAAAAAAAGAAAAGGCACTCAGGCTCATCAAGGACCAACTAAACTCTACCCAAAAGCTTATGCTATAAGGTGCAACATATCTCGAACAAGCTCAATCTACAGCCCTATTTTCTCCTCACTTATACAACAGGCATTTATTCACTTGCATTTAACCATATCACACTAGAGAGTAAAGGCCAATAGTTTCTCCACAATGGTATACCTGATGATTGCCAACATGAAGTCTGAGTATCGATCCCTTTCATGAATTTCATCCTGAACAAAAAATGAATGTCACCTGAGTTTGCAATGCATACTTTCCATGGGAAAGGATACACAGGGATATGCTTCACATATGTCAAGAAAAGTATGTGCAGGATATGCCAAAATTCAGGAAGAGAGAATATATGAAGACATCTAAATTCACTTCTCATTCCTCGCTTCGTGTTTAAGAGAATAATATAAAAGTTTTAAAGTACATTTTCCCTCAAAGCATTACAGTTATCACATCTTTTTTGTGGATACCCATTGCTGAAGACTGAAGAGACCATCTGAAAACCAATTATTAAGTCTGAAAAGTGCTTCTGGTACGTATAGTTATAGACACTATTTAGTAACTGCTTTATAATTTTTCACACAACATGTCCAGCACCAAGCAGTCACTAAACCAGTGCTAACTTTTCTAGCGTTAGAATTAATTAAATAATATAAAGTTTTACTACTTTCACCCAGTGTTATAAAAACTGGCTGGTCAAACTGATCCGACCAGGAATTGGTGATATAACCAGAGTACCAGACCAAATTAGTTATTGGATCAGAAATGTTTTAGAATTGGTGTGACCCAGCCAATCCAAGCAGTCCAGATGAACCAGTGACCCTGCTGTTTCTAAGTGAATGGGTGGTTATAACTTTTTATTTGGCATTTTCTCAGGAACGATATGAATTTTTTTACAATTTTTTGATGTAAGAAATTTATATAGGTGATAAATGCTTTGGAATTTTTTAAATATATATTGTTCATGTGGTTCTACCACTGACTTAATGACCGAGTGTCATAACCAAGTCGATAACCAGTTCGAGTTAATAAAATTACTTTCTCCAATTACTGCCAGAGCCATATAATGACAATCATGGTGAGTGGTGACATCGATATTGATGAGCTGTGAGATAGTCACTTCACTCAAACAAAAGGAAATTTGTTCACAGTTCAAGCCAATTTGCTATAAAATGACGAGGCAGCTTTGCAAATCAAGAAACTGTTGGTTTGAAAAAGTATTTTTGTTTTTACTTTTAATCACAAAAATGCTGCCTTACTTTGTTTTTACTTTGTTTCCTGATTTCAAAAGTTTGTATAGGTAACAGTGAAAACATTTTTTTTTATTATTTTCAGTTTTCAGAGTTTCTTATACAAACTTTTGAAAACAGGAAACAAAGTAAAAACAATGTGGCATTTTTTGTAATTAAAAGTGAAACTAGAAAATGAAAGCGAAAAAACATTTTCTCTGACCAAAAGCTCCTAATTTTACAATTTCAAAATTAATGTCTGTTAGATATAGTTTTATCTTATGGGCCTAGGACCACTACTTTGTATATAAACACATCTTTTACTTTGCAATACACAAGGAATATGTTCTCTCCATTCACCATTACTCTCAACAATGTCCAAGATTCTAACAGATTTTCCTAGTCAGTTCAAATTTTCAATTAACCAATTTATCTGAGAAAGTACCAGTCATAGCCATACCTAATAACCAATTTTTCAACCATCTAAATAAATCAAAAAATGATAATTTACAAGTACCATAATTATATGAGTGATTCCAGAAATGTCATCCTTCACATGCCCTATTTTTGACAAATGAGAACCTCTTGAAACCAACAACCTTAATAGCACTCCAGTAGTACATAGCACAATTGATGATTGCCTTCCACCTCTGCTTTCCAACCGTATCTGGAATTTTTTTTTAAAGTGTAAGGCACAGTATTGTATGTTTATGAGATGTAAATCACTATAGAAGCTAGTAATGTTCTAGTACGAGGCAAGGCAACCAGTAATTCAAATGGGACTGGCATAACAACATAGGATATGAAATGTTTAAGGGAAAAAAGTCAGAATTACATGTAACAAAGTTATTGGGGAAAATAAAAAAGATATTTGTAGATTGAAGCAATGATAGGAAAAAATCATACTTCAATACTAATGACATCTAGTAGATTTCCTCCCCAGTATCAACAAAAATGTGTTGTGACTTGTGAGAGTGTAACACATGAATGCAAGAAACTGGTATGATTATGATAACAATGCTCAATGTTTGAATACATATTTCTATACAAAATAAATCCAAATAAAGGATCATGGTACCGCTACTACATCAAAGATACCTTAACAAAATTACCTTATATCCCACATTTTCTCCAATAGTCTCTCCTTTCTCACTGGCGATTCTCTCAGAAACTATGCATAGAAACGGAAAAAGGAAACAAATTTCAATTAAGACTATAAAATGAACATTGAAAATCAAGTCCAAAAGAGTTGCAAACCTGAAGTTGCAGAGATACGCCGAGGTTGAGTGCAAACTATTTTACATACCTCTCCCTTACCCCACATATGATCCAAAATAAATTGCGGGACCTGAATCATATTTAATATAAAGTTTAACAGGACAACAAAAAAAGAGAAAGATAAATGTTTTGAATAGAATAGAAAGATTATTAAAAAACCTTGGTCCATATACAATGATGGAAGTACAGATTGGTGAAACCCAAAATAACAGATTCACAAAGCATCAAGAAATTATCAGTTTGTCCACAATTATCAAAGCTTGAGCCACTTATTTTAAATTGAGGATAAAAAGAGCAAGTGAATTAATACAAAAATTAAAAGATATCACAAGCATACATACTAAATGGATCAATTATAAAAACATCAACACAATGACCAGAAAAGTTATCATCTTGAAACAGTCACAAACAAATTATATGTAAATGTAGCTGTACCATAATAAAGACAAAGCAAAGAATTGGTAACCTGCGTAGTCTTTCCGCAACCAGTCTCACCAGATATGAGAACTACCTGCTTTGAAACAAATGAAAGAAATATTAAGACCAAAACACGTACAAAAATCTAATCTGCAAATTCAATTTAATTGTATGTTGAAATGCACTACAACTAAAATCTTATTCAACTATGTTATTAGATATATTTAACATGTCAATGTGAATGATATAAGCTTAGTGCACTCAGCACCCAAGGTACCGAGTATATGCATATCCAAAGGCAATTTTACAAAGCAAAATTTTAAATTAACCTGGTGAGATTCAACAGTTGATGTAATTGCATCCTTGAAAGATGCAATTGGAAGCTTAGATCTATCTTCAATGATCTGCAAGAATGGAAATCAGACAAATGATTCAATAACAAGACTATTCTTTTGCAAATGCAATACATAAGGCAGAAGAGGAATTATAAAAAAATATCATTATATTGTGCAGCACATTAACAAATGTTTTGTTTTCATTCTTTGAGCAGACAAATGATTTGCTATACATACGTTCAGGAAAGGCCTACTGTTCATAAAAGAGGGAAAGTTGTCCATGGAGGCGATGTGCACAGATGCAGATTATGTACAATTGACTATTGATAAAAGATCCACCTCAAGGTATTGTAAGTTCTTGGATGGTTTGTGAGCTATTATGGATGAAAATAGTACTTGATGAACTCAATAAAATATGGAACTCCTATGAAGCCATTTTGTCACAATAAATCAGCCATTAACAAGGGACACAACCTAATTATGCATGATATGACAAAGCACATAGAGAAGGACCAACAATTTATCAAGAACCTCGATGGTGGTCTTATAGCTATAGCATATATTCTTTTAGGGTTTCTATTGGTTGATCTATTAACCAATAGACTTCCCACAGAGCAACTTGAAGATCTTATTAGCAAATTGGAATGATAGGTATCTATTCACCAGCTTGAGAGGAAGTGTTTTGTAACAAGATGAACACATGATTGCTCTAATTAAGACAGATTTAATTTGTTTGTCTATATATATAACCACTGCTAGCCATTGCACCATTTTATTACTAGTGTCTAGCGTAACAATATTTAGTTCCCTCATATCCAAGTCAACTCTAACCAACAAAATTCATAAATATATATAGGTTTCTGAATATTAAAGGAGAGGGAAAGAAAGTGGACCTGTTTCAAGTTAGGAACATTGTTCATTCTAGAAGCAAGAGCTTCCAATTTCCTAGAAATGTCAGCCTTAGACATAGAGGGCCTGCTAAAAATATCATCTTGCCTTTGTCTTGTTTTGCCAGTAGTATCACTATGTTCTCCAACCATCTCCCACAAGTTTCCATCACCAGGTGGATAATGAGCAAATAAATCGCCCAGAACCCACTTTGCCTCTCCAGAAAATGCAAAATGAGGAAGACTTCGAAACCCATTATTAGTGTCAACCTTCTTTTTGATTTTTTGCACACATACCCTCCTCTCCTTCCCAAGCCTACACAAAACACAGGCCCAATATCAATAACACAACATGTAATCACCGAATCAAAACCACTCCATCACCAACTATTCCACTTAAGAAGTGTGAGCATAATTCTCACAGATTCAATTCAAAGTGCACTGCCCTTAACACTCACCCATAACTTTTAGATCTAAACCCCATTTTGAGGGCCATTTGATGCACCAAAGCGCGCTCTTGGTTGGACAAACTAGCATCAAACTTGTACACTGCAGAAAAACAAAACAAAACCCAAATTTCATGAATGGATGTAAGTATGTAATCATCATTGTTCCAAGACAGATTTTAAGTGGGTCACGAACTAGCGACAGAAAGTCTCAAACTTCATAACAAAAAATTGGAAATATCCAATCGAAACGAACGAAACGCCCAATAATTGAACAACGAGAGGGGTGGTTTTTCTGCATCAAACAAACGGTGAAAAGGGGCATTGAAAAATGATGTAAGAGGGTGACCTTCATCATTGGAAGCTCTGAACTGTTCTAGAATCTGGGAAATGCGAATCCTGGTGACTTCATCAACTTTGGGGTTTTGATGGAGAAGTGCCTCTCCTCCTTTCTTCTCTCGTTTGTGGGTCATGGTTTGAAATCCAATCCAAGTGGTGGCTGAGTACTAAGGTGGTGTCTTGTTGGAAGCAGGTATTGTGTTTGTGATATTGCTTTTGTTAATGTCCAACGTTTTGCAGTCCAATTTTTCTTTTTCCCACACAAAATATGATACCCTACTTCGATACTAATGCTTCCCGCATCACCTTTCTTTCTCCGCTGTTCCATTTATCTGGTTTTGCGTCCTGTTTTAGGTAAACGTCTTTTTAAATTTTTATCTCTTTTTTTTTAACTAAATTTATTTTTTATCTTCTACATTTTTTATTCTTTTATGTCTAAATTAAAATGATTATCTTAAATCAAAGTATTTTTAAAAGTCAACTAGTATTTTAGGCTAAATATTTTATATATATATATATAACATAAAAATTATAAATACAATATAACACACAAGAATTTCACTTTTTAAGTAAATATTATTTTTACTAAATAATTGGACTGATTTTTATAAATGTATTTTATGTATATAAAATATGTGACTTTTATTAAATGTGTTTTATTTAATAATTGAGGGAAGGAAAAGGGAATCATAGTTAAATTGTTTTTATGAACTTTAATTGTGAATTAATGTTTTAAGAAGGGAGTTAAAGACAACTTTTTCTTTTTACACTTTTTTTCTCTTTTCTTTTCACACTTACTCTTCGAACAATCAGAAAAGGTACCAAAGATCGTTGGAGATCATCCAAAAATTCACACCCTTCAATTAGTGTTTACTAAAGTAATGGGAGTGAGTAATCTCGTTTTAAACATAAGATAATTGTTGAGTTGTGAGATTAACTCCAATCTCTTTTCTATTATATGCATCATATGAAGAGAAATTATCAAATTGTGACTTATGTTGTGTTTCTATCTTCTATATGATTATTCAATGCTTTATTCAATGTCTTAAATGTAAAAATATGGTTAATTTTGAGTATCAACCTAATCTTGTGAACCTTGGATTGCCCATGGTTTCCTATGGGAACCTTAATGGAATGCAATTTAGGTTATTGAAAAAGAAGATGATATGAATATGTAATTATGTGTAATTTGTGCTTATTAGAACTATGTCTTGACCTTTTATCAATTAGGTTTGTAAATTGACATCTTGTACATGTGTGGTGGAATTTGTGTTTCTGCAAAATTGTTGGTTTATGATACAACATCGAGCATCACCTTGGGCTCATCGAGCGCCATTGTAGCCAAGAGCAAAGTTCACTCTTTGTGTCACTAACGTTGAGCATGGGAACTCCTTGTAGTGACCTCATCGGGCATGAGGTGGATCACGTCAAGTGTAGGTCGTTTAGAGATCTACGAGTGCTCTCTAGGCATGTCATGTTAGGCACATAATGGTTATCATTGGACACCATTTTACACTTGATACTCTTCTTGTTGTACACTAATGGTGATTGACTTAAATGATTCTCGTGCCAATGAACTCGATATGAAGATTAAAGTGTGAAATTGTGATGTTGTAATTGATGAATGTGACAAATGAATTAATGTAGGAAAATCGTTGTGAATATGCATTATGATAACATGATATTACATCGAGTCTCATGTGGATGTTATGATTTTGGGATGACTGTATATATATGGTGCTATATTTTGTACATAGAAACATAGTTATTATATTTATATTTACATACCTATATGTATGAGTCATTCAATTCTATATTCTCTTAGTTCATTATTACGCATCGGTCTCGTGTTTTGACGAACAAGTCGGCCCATGAAGTCAGCAAGGCCCCAACTCATGTCACGGGGGGTCAAGCAACCTTCAGCCGTCATCCCTTTGTGGATTGCATCATGGAGACACCACTTCCTCAGGGGTGGAAGCCTCTCCACCTCGATCGCTATGATGGCACGACGGACCCCGATGAGCATATCGACCTGTATACGACACAGGTAAACCTCTACACTAACAATGATGCTATTTTGTATAGGGTTTTTCCGTTCTCACTGAAGGGGGCCGCGCTCAACTAGTACACCCAGCTTCCCGCTGAGTCAATCGACAGCTTCAGCACTTTGGTCAGGCGATTCACGGCGCAGTATGCAACGAGCCGGCCTCACCACATCACTTCAGTCGCCCTGGCCAGTCTTAGACAGAACGACGACGAGCCACTACGGGCATTCATGGAGCGATTTTCCACCACCTCGGTCAAGATCAGAAATTTGAATCCCGAGGTCGCCCTGCATGCCATGCTCATGGCACTCAAGCCCGGGCCATTCGTCGACAACCTATGTCGTGAGGCTCCGCGCGACATGGACGAGCTCCGCGCCCGAGCTGCGGGCTACATCCAGATGGAGGAACACTCCGCATTTCGTGATCAAGTTCGTGGAAAGGGACCAATGAAGCCAGAACAAGGTCACAAGGACAATGTCAAAGTCAATAATGACAGCCAGTTCAAGAAGTCGGCTAGGGCGAACAGAGGGGGAGATATGACTTCTACACTCCCCTGAACATGCCCCGAGTACATATCCTGGAGGAGGCCAGTAACAGCAACCTGCTTACCCTGCCACCGCCAGGTCACACCCCCAATAGTGCCGACAAATCCAAACATTGTCGGTACCACAGGAACCACGGTCACACCACTGAGGAGTGCCGCACACTCCGAGACCGTATTGAAGAGCTCATCTAGGCAGGCCACCTCGGCCAATATGTCCAGCGACAGCAAGGTTACCAAGGAGGCTATGGTGGGCGAGGACGAGGTAGAGGTCGCGGTTCAGGAGCTCACACGAACCAACCCTCTGGCTCTCAGCAAAATTCCGGCGGAGCAGTGCAAGCCGAGGTAAGCCAAGAAACAGGATCAGCTCCCCTACGGGGAGTAATCAATACAATTGCAGGTGGTTTCGCAGGGGGAGGTGCCACTAGCTCGGCCCGGAAGAGACACCTGCGCAATATCAACATTGTCCATTCTGCTACCTTGGCTTCACACCAAAGTTCACCGCCAATCACCTTCACCAACAGCGACTATGCCGGCGTTAGTCCCAACCAGGATGATCCCATGGTCATAGCCGTGGAGGTAGCCAATTGGGAGGTGCACAAGACACTGATAGACTAGGGGAGCTCGACAGATGTCCTGTATTGGCCGACCTTCCTCAGGTTAGATATCCCCCACTCTCTCATCCAACCACACACAGAGCCCCTAGTCAGTTTTGCAGGAGAGCGAGTACACACTCGGGGATACGTGGACCTACTGACCACCTTCGGAACCTCTCCGGACACAAGGAGAATTATGGTCCGATATCTCCTGGTGGAAGCCAACACCTCCTATAACATCATCATCGAGAGGCCGACGTTGAATCAGCTTGGAGCAGTAGTGTCCACTCCACACCTCACCATGAAGTTCCCAGGAAGCGACGGTAAGATCATCTCCGTCAAAGCAAATCAGAAGACAGCTCGAAAGTGCTACGCCGAGAGTCTGAAGATATCCTCGTCCGGCGAGCAAAGCAAGAAGAATCCCCCCACCGTGGCTCACATCACCCACGTGGAAATCACCGATCTCGATCCAAGATCCGACTCCCATGACGAGAGGCCAAGCCCCATTGACGAGCTTGACGACCTCCAGATCGGGAAACTCCCCGGGCAGTGCACAAAAATCAGTAGGTAGTTGAGCCTGGATTTGCGACAACAGCTCGAAGCTGAGATTCTCCAGAATGCTGACCTCTTTGCCTGGTACAGCGCTGACATGCCAGGTATAGATGCTAACTTCATCTGTCACAGGTTAGCGATACACAAGGAGGCAAGGCCAGTCGTCCAGAGGAAGAGAAAGGTCAGCGGTGAAAGGCGGGAGGCCATCATCACCGAAACACAAAAATTGCTGAACGTTGGCTTCATCCGTGAGGTCAGATACACCACATGGTTGGCGAATGTGGTCTTGGTGAAGAAGAGCTCGGGGAAGTGGCGCATGTGCGTCGACTACACCGACTTGAACAAAGCATGCCCCAAAGACTCATACCCCTTTCCAAGCATTGACAGGTTGGTTGACGGAGCGTCCGGGCACGCCCTCCTCAGTTTCCTTGACGCCTACTCCGGGTACAACTAGATAATGATGTACCCATTACACCGGTGTCGTTTGAACCCTCCTATATATATATATATTGTTGAATCATGTTTGATTACATGGTATCTTGCCTATAAGATTTTAATTATATATGTATATGATGATGAGATATTGTTGTTGTTTATTTGATTATCTGACCTTATTTTACATCGTGAGTCAAAGTTCTCACTCTCCATTTTCAAGGGTAGAGGAAGAGGGGATCTTGAGGGACCATGGTCCTCTTCTCCCCCCTCCACCCCCAACCCATTTTTTTAAATGTACCAAAAAATTTTTTTAAAATGGCTCCCTAAAATTTATAAGAAAAAATAATAAATTGATAGATGAAAATCATCATGTTAGTTTACTCTTAAATAAAAGAAAAATAAAGAAATATATGTAGGACTAATATATAATGTGATAGAAAGAGAAATAAAAAAATATAAAAGATAATGAATTATTTATGATGTTAGAATATTTATATATAAGTGCTAAAGAAAAATTTGGCCCCTTCAAGCCAAATTTTTGGCTCCACCCGTCCTATTGTTTTGTGCTGCTTTTGTATGTATATTATTAAAGGTGAGAATGATTATGATGTTGGTAAGTGGTAACGAGACCTAGATCTTAGGTGAGAGTGTTTTCATAAGATGTGTCATCGAGACATAATTATGATTTATTATTTATGATGTTTAGTCGTATCTTAAGACATAGTATTAAATTTATTTCATAATGTTTTTTATTTGGAGACATTTATTTGAGGAGTGACATATTTAGTTATAATGTAAGATCCTTTTCAATTTAATATTGTTTAATTGATTATTTATGTATGAATTCAATTTTTTATTTAAGTTATTTCTTATTATACTTATTGATATATGCAAAGTAGAGGATATCACACACAATATTATTTTTAATTACTGATAATTTATTTCAAAAATATTAAAATTCAATTTATAAATAGTACATGATAAATAAAAGTTAAAATAGATAAGAAATTAAAAAAAAATCCTTCAAAACTTTTAATCGAATAAAATTGTGTAAGAAAACCTTTCATTAAATAAAAGTCTTCTATAATACTCTCATGCAATATGATTATTTATATTTAATATATAGAGTTAATTTTTAAAGAAAATATTTATAAAAAAAATTATTATAATATTTTTATGAACTTTTCTTAGAAAAAAAATCATACACATTTAAAATAAATTTTTTGACTTATAATTATGGTATTTTTTTTTTCATAAAATTTATTTCGATCATTTTATTCTAAATAATATTTTTGTATTTTGTTTATCTTTCTCAATGAGTATTTATTTTGTTGTTAAATCATCATATGTTAAATTGAGTGACACACCAATATATCACATTTTGTCCACGTAGGCATGTTTAGAAGATTAAAATGTCAAATAATTTATGGAAATTAAAAATAAAATAAAATACCACATTATAAGGACTAAAATCACAAAAATATTTTTATAAAATTAAAACATAAAATATCTTATTACAAATACTAAAATACATTTAAGTTAAATTAAAGTAAAAAAAGATAAAAATTCTAATTTATTATTAGGAAAAAACTTATATATAATTTGTTAAGCGTAGTTAATGCTCTTTAATCCGAATTAGAGTTGTAACTTAGTATTATACAATTGTATTTAATAAAAATTTCATTAATATACATTTGTGCATACTATTAAAATAAAATTTTAATTTTAATTAAAAAATAATATTAACTATCTCTAAAAATTTGTATCTAAGTTTAGTATTTATCATTGTTGTTACGAATCTTTCATATTTCTCCTTCATCATTCGTCTCTTGTTTTTACCGTCCTATTCATAGAAACCATCACATTAAGCTAATCAACGAAAAAAGAAAAAACTTGATTTAAAAATAAAAATGAAAATTATAGATGAAATGGTATTAGTTGCTTATAAGAAAAAAAATTATACACACATGATAAAAGCTATTTTACATTGTAATCTAATTACAAATTATTATATATAGCAATAATAAAGTAAATAACTTCACTTGGCGTCAACTTTTTCCTTTGTTATTTTACTTTAATAACTATGAGTATACTCACGTAACTGCACAAATTATCATAAAGAAAAACTTGTTATTCTCTATCATATTTTTAATTGGTTGATAATATACAATCTTTTGCATCGATTCATTTACTTTAACATTTGGAATTGATAAAAAGAAGAGATCTTAACTTTGATACATGTTAAAGTGATTTTTTTTTCTTCATTTTTTCATAATTTTTCTCTAATTTTCTTTGACTAATATTTTAACATGTGCTATCCGCAAAATAAATAATTATTTTATATAACTAAAATTTATAATAAATAAATATTTTAAAATGCACAAATTATATTTAAAATTTATAATGGATAATTATTTTAAATATATAAATTATATGATTTATTATAAACATTCTATATTGTTATTATGTTACTTTTCCCAATGATCAAATAAAAATAATAGTTTATATTGTAATATAAGATTTTTTTTTACTATTAATGATATTTTTAGAAAATTTTAATCCTAATTCATAAATAAAGGTAAAAAAAATAAATTAAAAATAAAATATTAAGAAAAAATCATAAATATAACAAGGAAAACTAATAATCTGTTGTCATTGTTATAAACCAAGCAGTCTCAAACCTATGAAGGTTGCCTTATAAGTAAGAAGTATAGATAATTTACATTAGTTTTTAGATTTAAATTTCTTCACCATCATTGTTAAAAAAAATAGAAGAAAAAAAATTCAAATAGCTGGTATTTATTGGAATTATTTTGTTTTAAAGATTTCAAATGCAGGTTTGAGGAAGTTTCATGTGAACTCAAATCTAATCCCGACCTCTATTCTACTAATTGAGGAAAATGTGAACTCAAATATAACTAAAAGGGTTTTTTTCCCATTAAAATTGAGCTTTGTTAAACAGACTATCTTACAGAAATTCATCGTTAAAGTCACGCGCCTTCCCTTCCCAAGAACTGAACACTAAACCTGAGCAATTGTTATTTTTTTCAACAAAACATTGCAACTTTTGCAATCAAGATTTAAAGCGTGTTTTCACATTTCTTCTTTGAGACCTAGGCCTTCCCTCCCTATCACCAAAATAGTGTGTTCCCACACGTTCCAAGGAAATGCAAGATTGACGACAGAAGGCATTCCGAGTGAAAAAGCTAGCCTGAAAATAGTTTTACAATAAAATACATGAAATGTATAACTTACATTTCTAAAATACGTTAGTTATGAATGATACACTTCGTACTCCAACTGTTTCTTCAGTTCACGATTGGTCACTGGCAAGAACTGTATGTGTAATAAGTAAATTCAGTTAAAAAAGTAAGAAAAGAAGATTGGTAAATGGAAAGAACTGTATGTGTAATAAGTAAATTCAGTTAAAAAAGTAAGAAAAGAAGATTGGTAAATGGAAAGAACTGTATGTGTAATAAGTAAATTCAGTTAAAAAAGTAAGAAAAGAAGATTGGTAAATGGAAAGAACTGTATGTGTAATAAGTAAATTAAGTTCACCACGTCCGAAAAGAAGAAAACGAAAAGAATAACACCTATGTTAGGCTGGAAAAGCAAATGTAGTATAACTAAACAAAGAAAAAGCGTCATGATTCACGAATCTAATTCAATTGGAATATTTGTTTGAAAGTTCCCAGTAGACATAGTTCAGTACCCCCTAATAAATCATCCCCTCTTTTTTCTCCCCTCCTCCTTGGACTCCCTTGGCAGTTGACAGAGATATCCCCTTCTCCACGGGTGAAAATTGGAAAAAAAGATCAAACGCATTAATGGAATACGAATTTATTATGAGATTTATGAAAAGACACGTGCATGTTTGACATGAATGGTCCACTTGTGGTGATAGTAATGGTATTTACACAATTGCAATAATAACAAAAAAGAGAAATCAATTGGAATGAGTTTTCATCTAAGTTCTCCCATTGCAGTAATGGATACCACCACCATTGCTGTGCACATTTTGGTACTTGTTGTGCAGACAATTCAGGCCCCATATCCGAATTGTCCGGTCATCACTGGCCGAGGCTAACATGTGGGGGTTAGCTGGATTCCAGCTCACACAATTAACAGCTCCAGAATGACCAGGCAATGCCTCTATTAGCTCTCCCGAGCTTCTATGCCATATGTGAACCTACAAACATAGACCCCGACCGAACTCCAGTTTATTAGTTGCCCAAAATTATCCAATACAATTGATTATCATGAGAAGTTGGGTAAATAGTACGAATAACATTGTAGTTTTGCACGCTGTATAGCATTGTTTCACATCCAAAAGAAAGAGGCTTAGCGACTGCTAAATTTCTATCAATCTAATTATTCTAATATACATATCTTGTATCTCCTCATAGACAAACTGATGGCCAACGAAAAATGGAACACCAACTGATTTAACTAAGGAGCATATCAAGCATAATTGTAAAATTATCAATCAAGACGATCCTAGTTTTATCAATATAAACTAGAATAATATTACAGAAACTCGTGAGACCCGGACATAATAATAATTGTACTTGAATTCAATTAATATTATAAACAATCAGACCACAAAGCACCATTTCATGGGTCTTTTATGCCAATATTTTAATGATCCTCTATAGCCTGCATTAAGTGCATGTTGAACTCATTTTGAAGAAGTAACCACTTATTTCAACAAATTGAGAGCATTTGAAGAATATGCATTATTTTCAGGAATTTAAGCTATCCTAAACATACACCAATTCCTATAATCAAACAATAAGATTTAAAATTTAAAAACATTTTTTCTTTTGATGGTATAAACAGAAACGAAGAAGCATCAAAGGCTTTCAATTTGCAAATTATAAACAAATTATACTTCTCAAATTTTTTTATTTTTTATTTTTTATTTTGATCCATGATTAAATTCATTACCTGTGAATCCTCACTTCCACTAGCAATAAAAGCTTGCTTGAGGCCACCAAAGCAGGACCTGATAATAAACCGGGCACGTTTATGACCTTTGTACTTGCCAACAAGCTTAGGATCACCTTCAATGTTCCATAGATGTATTTCTTGGTCCAAAAGATTAACCAACAAGAATTTGTTATCCTTTGATAAAGAAAAAGAGGTTATTGTTTGATACTCTTCAATAAATCTCTCTTGCTTTGTTTCTCTATTGAACAATAGTATTGTGTTGGCTTTGCAAATACTTAGAATCTCTTCCCCGTTATCTGTTATTTCCAAATCAGATATTTTCAGGGTTTTTTGTCCTTTCCATGAGTCCACCTCTTTTCCATCTAATTCCCACATGCAAATGCTCTTGTCACTTAAGCCACAAAGTATATATTTCCCACATGGAAACCATGTACAGGAGACTAGGGCAGCACTGGATTTTTCATAAATTTGGAGGCATTTGCCAGTAGAGACATCCCAACGCCTAATAGCTTCTTCCACTCCACATGTGAGGAGCTCTTGGTCATTAGGACTCCAAGAAACAGAAGAAATAGGTTTCTGGTGACCAGATAATTTATGCTTTACAGACAATCCACCATTGATGCCAACCTATTTAAAAATAAAAAATTAGAAGTGAAACCTAATGTCATAGCACTAGACCATATTTTTATTTGTGTTAGAATGAATGCAATTTTTGTGTCTTGATCAATTAAGAGGAGGAGGAGGGGTTAGG